AGCCACATGCCCTACACCGACGCCGTCATCCACGAGATCCAGAGGGTCAGCGATGTGATTCCCATGAACTTCCCGCATGCCCTGACCCAGGACACCCACTTCCGGGGCTACACCATTCCCAAGGTAACAATGCACGCTGTCCGTCCGGGCTGGACTCCCTTCCCTTCCCGCCCAGTGCTGGTCAGGAGTAATCCCACCGCAGCCACCATTAGACCAAGCTCCATTCACGGTAACCGATGGAATTGTCACCAATCCCCTTGAGCCGAAGCAAAAGCAGGATCCTTAGACCCATTTTGCAGAGGGGGAGACTGAGTCAGCAGCTGATCCCGGACTAGAACCCAGGAGGCCTGGCTCCTCGTCCCTCCCCCGTTCTAGTCACTGCCTCCCTTTGCCCAGGGCACGGAGGTGCTGCCAGTGCTGAGTTCTGTGCTGCGGGACCCCAGCCACTTCCACCGCCCCGACAGCTTCGACCCCGGGCACTTCCTCGATGCGCAGGGGGGCTTCAGGAGAAATGACGCCTTCATGCCGTTCTCAGCAGGTACGCAGCTGGGAGGGTGAAGGGGCACCGGGAACTGGGGGGGATTGGGAGACCCTGGCCGAGATCAGGGCCCGTCGGGCCGGGCGCCCCCCAGATCCCGGCCGAGATCAGGGCCCGCTGGGCCGGGCGCCCCCCAGAGCCTGGCCGAAATCAGTGCCCCATTGGACCGGGCGCTGCCCAGACTCCGGCCGAGATCAGGGCCCGCTGGGCCGGGCGCCCCCCAGAGCCTGGCCGAAATCAGTGCCCCATTGGACCGGGCGCTGCCCAGACTGCAGCCGAGATCAGGGCCCGCTGGGCCGGGCGCCGCCCAGACACAGAACAAGACACTCCCTGCCCCAGAGAGCTCAAAGTCCACCGTGAGTTAAAACCACCCGGCACAGCCGGCAGCTCCCGGAATCCCAGAGGGGGCCGGAGAGACTGTCGCGGCCGATCTGTGCAACACGGAGCTGCCGGCTGGGCCGGGGGGGGTTTACTCACGGGGG